TATTCTTTAAGTTCAATTTTAAATAATGCCATTTGTCTCATTTAATGACAGTGAGAATTAAAAAGAAGTCAAGGGTGCCTGGAGTTATGATCACCCAATATGTGGAGGAACTACCAGAAGGCATGAGCACGCCAGATTTCACTCGGAAACCAATTGCTCTGACAATTCAAGAAGGTAAAGTAAAATACCACCTCTGATCACATATCCAACTTCATTTCTTGACTGTGCTGATTATTTAGATAATAACGTTGCTGTTTCTGTAGGAAAACTGGGGATCTTCAGAGCAGTAGTTACTGGTAATCCAACACCAACAGTGACGTGGTTGAGAAATGATGGAGAACTTGATGAACGGTACAAAATCATTTTTGATAAAAGTTCTGGTGAACACCAACTACAGGTGAGGTCATGGAAATGTGATAAAGATATATCAAATAATAACTACTAAACAAATCTGCAATTAAATGTTCAATCCTTGCATTTAATGATAGCTGCCAGGTGTATCGGTGGATCAAGCTGACACATACAAGTGCTATGCAGTAAATGAATTTGGAAAAGCAATTGTCACAGCAACCCTTAATGTTATTGAAGGTGCGTAACTCACTTCTATTTCAGGATATATTCAAAACAAATAATTATGATGATAAATGACATCTGTCTCACTTGAATGCATTTCTTTCCATTTCAGTTGGCTTCAAAAAGAACAAGGCTTTGCAACAATCAAGAACAGGTACACACTATAATTACTTTATAATAACAGTGAATCATGCACTGAATTGAACCGTGATGCTTGTTGTGTTGCAGCTATCCGAGAAACACCAGAGGATTTAAAAAAGTCCTTAAAAACAACGTAAGTAGTGCTGTGATTCAGGGCAAGGGCAAACTTTACTTTGTTTTTTTCTTGCTATGTATAATTATTACCTTAAAGTAATTTGTGTTTTTTTCCTTTTGGAGGGTTGACACTGAGTCCAAAGATGGAAAACTAGAAATCGATGACAAGTTTTGGGAACTATTGCTGAGTTCAGACAAGAAAGACTATGAGAGCATATGTTCGCAGTACGGTATCACTGATTTCCGTTGGATGCTGAAAAAACTAAATGAGATGAAGGTAGAGAGGGAGCAAGAACAGGAAAAGGTACTGTATGGTTTCAATTTCATCTACATGTAAACATACACTGCCTCATAATAAAGTGGCAGAAAATAAAATAACGCCAACATTCTTGAAATCATGTTTTGATTTCTATTTGAGAACAGGTTGTTGAAAGACTTTGCAACCTGAAGTCCATTGAATTGAATGCTATTGGTGATGCAGAGTGTGAAGCTGAAGAGCCTGTTAGCAAAATCTTTATATATAAGGTGAGATGTTTCATCTTAAATATTTTTTTAATAGATTATACATTTATATATATATATATATATATATATATAAAAAACAATGTACATTATTATACATGCTACATATTTAACTCATTTGTATGACCTCATATGTTTGAACAGGATGGAATTATGATTCCTTTTGATGCTGAAACAGAGATAAAACATGGATTGAAGCAAGTGGGAAAGAAGTTTGTATTTAGCATGAATGGTGTTGACCTGGAGGATGCAGGATTGTACCAAGTGGAGGTTGATGGAATCAAGATCTTCTCTACTGATTTTAAGCGTAAGATAATGCTCTTTATTAATCATGTACATGATTGAAGTGTACATAAATGTTTTACAGCAATGCTCCATGGGAAATAGCAGATCTCAGGTTAACCCGTAATTTTGTGTTTTGTACAGTTCCCCCTATGGAATTCTTAGTTAAAATGCAAGATGTGAAAGCAGAGGAAAGAGAGGACGCTGTGTTCGAGTGTCTCATCTCGCAACCAATGAAAAAGATTACTTGGAAGGGAAAAAATACTCCATTGGAGCAAGGGGATAAATATGACATCCTCGTGTCAGATGACATGCTGATTCACACGTTGGTCGTAAAGGACTGCATGCCACTGGACAAAGGAATTTATGCAGCAGTGGCTGGACTCGCATCCTGCAGTGCCTGGCTTGTAGTGGAAGGTACTGATTATATTTCTCAAATTGTTTCTTTACATATTGTTTAACACTAGTCAATACCTCTTACACGTTTCTGGTACTGTCTATCTTTTTATAATCAGTGGACAGTGATCCAAACTTGAAAGGAAAGAAGAAAGCTCGCAAAACAACCCGGGCAGGTGGTGGTGGTGCTGATCTGTTGATGATTGCTCAAGAACAAAATGCTAAGATACAGAAAGAGAGGGATGAGCTGGTTGCAAAGGCAAAAGCAGAGGCAGAAGCTGCAGCTGCAGCTGCTGCTGCAACTGCAGCTGAGAAGGCAGAAGCTAAAGCAAAAGCCAAAGCAGAAGCTAAAGCAGAAGCCAAAGCCAAAGCCAACTCCGAAGCGAAAGGGGAGCCAAAAGCAAAGGCAAAGGAAAAGGAAAAGGCAAAGGAAAAGGCAAAGGTTAAGGCAAAGGCAAAGGTTAAGGCAAAGGTTAAGGCAAAGGTTAAGGCGAAGGCAAAGTCAGAAGGGGGAGAAAGTGCAGCAACAGTTGTAGGGGAGGAAAAGGAGGAAGAAGAGAAGGAAGATGTTGAAGATGACGAGGGAGATGTGGCGGAAGACGAAGAGGAAGACGAAGAGGAAGACGAAGAGGAAGACGAAGAGGAAGATGAAGTGTCCGAAGCGGATCTATCTACTTCATCAAAACCAAAGAAAAAGGTAGAAGCACGGGAGGGAGAAGCTCCTGCTGAAGTTGCTGATACTGAAGAAGAAGAGCAGCCTATTAAAGAGAAAAAAAAGAGAGTGAGGGCAGGCCCACTTGTTCCTGATACAGTCATTGGTAAGAGGCATCAGAACATAGTAGATGACATCTTAAATCTTAAATACTTTTTCTGTTATAAATGAAAAGGTTGCATTTCTTTTAGACCCTGGAGTTTACTTCACTGGTGGACTTTCTGATGTAAACGCCATCATTGGCACTGATGCAGAATTGGTCTGCAGACTGAGCAGTGAGGAATGTGATGGAGTCTGGTACAAAGACGGGAAAGAGGTGAGGGATTTAAGAGATGATGGAGTTGTAGCTTTCACCTACGACTTCCTTAGATGGAGGTGTGTTAACGTATGTGCATGTGTGTGCATTACAGATAACAGCAACAGATGATATCTGTATTGTTAAAGACGGGACTTATCGCAAATTAATTTTCAAAAACTGCAAAGAAGATGATGCTGGAAAGTATCGATGTGAAGCTGATGGGCGTAAAACAGAAGCCGTGTTAAATGTTGAAGGTATTGTAATCAGACGCAATAGAAAATGGCAACCACTGCAAAAATGTGTACAATACTCTTCTCTTTTTTAAATGATGTATGTTTTTCTACCAGATCCTCCAAGAATAAACACAGATGACCTCGCTGTGTTCATAAAACCTGTCACGATCAAAACTGGCAAAGAGGCAGTATTTAAGGTGTCATTTGTTGGCCGGGAGCCCTTGAAGATCCAGTGGTACAACGAAGGCGAAGAGCTGTTGGAGGACACCCATATCAAGATTGAAAAATCTTCCTCACACAGTCGTCTGGTACTAACCAAGTGCCAACGCAGAACCACAGGAGAAATTAAGATTAAGATTAAAAATGAATGTGGAACAGCTGAGGCCATTACACAGCTTTATGTCTTAGGTTTGTAAACTGCATCTTAGATACTGCATGTTCTTAATTTGTATTCATTTTACATAATGTAATTCATGCACATCAGTACAGTTATTGTTTTGTGTTACTATAGATAAACCAACCCCACCCCTGGGCCCTGTGGATATAATTGAAAGTTCATCAAGTTGCATTGACTTCAAATGGAGGCCTCCCAAAGACAACGGAGGCTGCCCCATCACTGACTACATCATAGAACGACAGCAAATTGGCCGAAACAGCTGGAAAAAACTCGGCAAGATTGGCCCAGAGCCCAAATACAGGGACTCTGATGTGGATCATGGCAGAAAGTATTGCTACCATATCAGGGCAGAAACGGATCATGGCATCAGTGAAATGATGGAAACAGACGACATTCAGGCAGGGACAAAGGGTAAGTCTTTCTAGAAGTCTCAAATAAAGTCTGTACTTTTTATAAGCTGAAAGCTAAAGTGACCATTATTTCCATTTCATCATTGTTTTAGCTTACCCTGGTCCTCCTTGTGTGCCAAAGATTGTTAGTGCTTTCAAAGACTGTATCAATCTTGCTTGGTCTGCACCTGCTAACACCGGAGGAACCAACATTTTTGGATACAACGTGGAGAAACGCAAAAACGGCAGTAATCTGTGGGGCCTTGTCAACCCACCTGAAGAGCCCATTAAAGGTAAATTTGAGTCACTTGTCACATTCACTGACTCTATTTACAGTGCTATGTTTGTTAAAGGCTTGATTTTAGACCTGAACTTGGGGAACATGGGACTTTATTTTTACGTTACATATATTTTATTTGTACTGTTTTACATTACAACAGAGAAAAAGTATGCAGTAAAGGAAGTTGTTGAAGGCATCGAGTATGAGTTCCGTGTATCAGCAATCAACATTTCTGGAGTAGGAGAACCAAGCGCACCCTCTGAATTTGTGTTTGCACGAGATCCGAAAAGTAAGTAACAGGTCGAAATCTGCTTTGTGTTGAATCTAAATACTTTAATTCCTAACACCTCAACTTATTCTTCCAGAGCCCCCTGGTAAAGTCATTGACTTGAGGGTGACAGACTCCACATACACCACCTTATCTCTGGGCTGGACGAAACCCACAGAGGAAGAAGGCGTCCAAGATGAGGCCAAAGGATACCTTGTGGAGCTCAGACCAGCAGAAAGTCCACAATGGGGTAGCTGTAACTCCAGTGCAATCATTATGACCTCTTACACTATTATGGGTCTGAAGTCTATGGGCATGTACTGGGTAAGAGTTATAGCCACCAATGAGGGTGGAGAAGGTGAGCCTCAAGAGTTGGACAACTACATCATTTCAATGCCACCTCCAGGTGAGTCAGTGGACACCTAGTCAACAATTAACGATCTACAGTCAAACGTTGACATATTTTACCATCATTAAATCGCTTTTTCTCTAATATTCTCTCTTCTTACTTTGTTACAGTGAGACCTCAATTCACTGACAAAAAAATAAAGAACTTCATGGTAATGAGAGCTGGGAACTCTGCTCGAGTCAACTTTAATTTTCAGGTTCAGTATAATAATGATTCAAAAGCCTCATCAGCACAAAATGACCAAGAAGTTTAAGTCAATGTCCCCTCGAAAGATGCAGATTAGACATTTTACAGTTGTGAAAAAGTGTAAACCCAGATTCAAGCTGTTTATCTCCGCTTGTGGACAGGCCTCTCCAATACCAACAATTAATTGGCTCAAGGATGGCCTGCCTGTGCCTAAGCATGTGACAGTGAGCAACACAGACACATCATCCCAGTTGATGATCTCCTCATCAGAACGCCATGACACCGGAATCTACACTATAATTGTGAAGAACCTTGTTGGTCAAGACACCTCCAGTGTGGAGATAAGAATTACAGGTACACTGAAAAAAAAAAAAACCTCAACCTATATCCTTCAGATAAAAATGAAATCTATAGCAAACGTTTTGTGGAGCTGACATTTTTAGGACGAGGTAAAATGCTTCCTTCCATCAAAGTCGAATAGATCATACCTCCAGCTTCACAAATGTTAAAATTTTCTGCTCCTTTGCTTTATTTCATCAATTGATTGAGAAAATATTTGGCAGTTTTAAGGAATGACAAGTGATTGTGATTTGTAATGTTAAATCTATGTTTATTTAAGCTATGGATTTATATGCAAAAGAAGTCTATCGTAATTAAGGTTGACTATAAACAGTGTATAAAAAAATAAAAGGTGTTTACTGTCTGAATTTGCTCTGGATTTAAGCAACATGCTGGCGAAATTCTGTAAGAAGATTGTGTATGTGCATCCCCTCTGTGGCCAGCACAGATATAATGCATAAAGATACTAAACATTTGATTCCCACACATTTCTAGATGACCCCAAGCCTCCAGGCCCTGTGGAGCTGGATGAGAATGTGTCAGGAACAGTGACAGTCTCCTGGACCCCCTCTCCAGATGAGAAGAAAGACGACAGGCTGCACTACTTGATCACAAAGCGTGATTCCGTTAAGCGTACCTGGCAAACTGTGGCAGAGCATCTCTTCAATAACAAGTTCACTGCCGTCAACATCATGCCGGGGAGACAGTATCAGTTCCGGGTCTATGCCAAGAATGACATGGGGCTTTCCGCACCCTCCGAGTCAACAATCTGGGAAGTGAAGAGAGCAAAAGGCAGGTTTAATGACAGTGTTGCAAAACTTGTGGAGTAAAACATTACTCAACTGGTTGATCTCAAACATTTTGGTTATCTGCTTAATTTTCAGCTTTTTTACAAAATGATTAATTGAAAATATTTCGGTATTGGACCGTAGGGCTGTCAAAATTGCTCCAAAATGACGTTCGAATATTCGCTCTAAAAAAACACAGGTTCGAACCATTCGAATATCTATCTATAATATATGCGCTTTATGTCAATAACAGGAGGACAAACTAATACAACGAGACATAACTACTTGTATAGGTATTTTTATCTCAGTTTTAACATAAAACATACCTACACATTACAAAATAAGTAAATGAACTAACCGTAAAACTTAGATCGTAGAAAAAGAACGCTCCGTCGCTCGCTTTCCACATGGAGTATACTGTACAACAAATTGCAAAGCACCGTTAAAACCAACAGCATTTCATATAAATGTTCTTCATCCTCAGATAAACGCACTGATTTGAGATAAGTGAATCAGACAACAGCAATGAAAACTGCATCGATCATTATGAATTGCACCTTTTTAACTTTTGTCTCCCTTTTATAATCCCAGAAACATTTTCTGTGAATGTTCCTGCCTCGAAGGACTGCAGCTTCGAGATGCCTCCATCATTCTCCGTTCCGCTAAAAATGCACAACAGTCCAGAGAGGTACGAGTGCTACATGAGTTGTGCAGTGACGGGAAATCCCAGACCCTATATCACCTGGTACAGAAATAACATCAGCCTCAACACCAACACTAACTACTACATCACCAATACCTGTGGTGTCTGCTCCATGGTGATACTCAAAGTTGGGCCAAGGGACAGTGGAGATTACACGGTCGCAGCCGAAAATAATCTGGGCAGAGTGGAGTGTACAGCTAAACTTGTTGTTAAAGGTAAAACAAATCCAAAACATCAGTATTATTCTGATTCTCTGGCTGAATATGTTGTAACAATGCCTCTCTCTTCCCCCTCCTCATCAGAATAAAGCTGTGGTCCTGAAATCTTGAAGACGAGTACTCCATTTAAATAAATTAAGGATTTGCCAACTGAAACCTGCAGTTATCAGCTTTTTTGTTTGTTTTCTTTGTGAATTTCTTGTATTAATGCCTTTAAATAAACTGTGGTGAGAAGAATAAAGGTTAAAAGACAAAAAGAAAGGAATGATTCTTCATAACTTTGTTTGGAAGCAATTAATTTATTCCCCACATGCAGTGAGGAGATTGAGATGTGACATCTGGGATTCAACATTAGTGAAATGCTAATCTTACACCCAAACATGTTTATTTATGGTCATTTGTTTTCTTGAGCTATGACAAGGTTACATCTGGTGTTTTCTGAATACAAATATTTTCTTTTCTTCTGACGTTACCACCTCACGGAAAATTGGCAATATGCTCAAACAGATTTAATGGTTCTGTGTGTTCATGTTTAATGTTTTCATCATTTATGACTTTTCCAAAATGTAAATAAAATCAATCCTGTTCAAAGTGAACTGCAGTGTCTTACTTTAACCTAAATTCAGTCATGAGTCTGTAACTTAATGTAAAGCAAGAGTATGTATATGTATAGAAAATAATAATAATCCCCTGGGCAAACTAAAAATATGTACCAAATTTATTTTCAGCCAATCAAATAGTGGGGCCAACAGACGTTACCGTCCATGGAGCCTTAAGGCTGTAAATGAAAAGAATTTAAAGAAATTAAAATTCCGATGTCAATGTCAATGGTCATTGGTCTCATCTGTGCTCAATGTATAAAGTTGCATTCAGTTTAGCACATAACTGTTGGACACTGTGAGGTAAATGCTGCCTTCATTCTGCCAACTGTCACATGGCTTCAAATTTCTCTTTTACTGTGAACACGTGTTAGCACGCTTTCAGAGGATATTGTGAGTCTATTATAGAAAGTCATAAATGATAAAAATTTCCCGCGCATGACTTGCATGTGCAACCGTGCAAACAAGTCCACATCTTCCTGTGTGAGGTCCGGCGACAGGCTAATATTATCCATTATACAGTAGCCACATGGCATCTTGTTATTATTGACACAGCCCTTCACTGGGAATTTACTGTACCAACCACATGCCAATAGTATGTAGTAATACTGTGTGGTGATGTGTAGCTGGTCATACAAGAGGTTTCATTTATTTGACAAAGTAAAATTACTTTCTTCACTTGACGGTATTTAAAGGAACAGTGTGTAGAATTTTGTGATATCTAGTGTTGCATGTTGCAGCTGAACACCCCTCACCTCACCCTCTCCTTCCAAACATGAAAAAGAACCTGTGGTAGCTTCAGTTGTCATAAAAACTCAAAAGGTGTTTAGTTTGTCCAGTCTGGATTAATGTTAAAAAACATGGTGGCCTCCATAGAGAGGGTCCCCTTGATGTAAATATAAAGTATTTAAACATAAAGGGCCTTTTCTGGGGTAAAGAAAACTACAATTCATACAATTTAGATGAAATAAACTAGTGAAAACATCATGAGGATTATTCTACATTCAATTTCTGCCAATAGTTCCCTTTCACCTAAATCTTTCACACTGGAGTTTTAAGTGTAGTTCATTTATGATACCTACATTCGTACAACTTCATTTGATGAATAAAATATAAATATGGATAGAAAAATTTAAGTCTGCCAACACAGACACAGATGAGGTTACTGCAGTGTAGCGTTGGGTTGTATAACGTCATTGTTTTCTATGTTAGAATTCAAAGCTCCTGACTTTAGTGACCTTTAGCAATAAATGCCTCCAAGAACATCAAGCTCCTCATATCAGCTTCCCATGCCTGAGAACAGTCATAGTTCCTGTCCCTCACATTCACTTTTATTGCACCACTTAAAATATACACACACGCACACGCACGCGCACACACACGCACGCGCACATGCCCTCAAAGTGTGTAGTAAATTTCTTCTTCAGGAAAAATGATTTGTCTGTGACATGTGAAATTCTGAAATCACCTTGTGAAAGGAAGTGTTAAAGATAGGACAATAATTTGAGGATTATTTATTTAACCCCTTTCTTAAAATTTGTTTTTACAGCATTTCTCTCATTAGCCTGGTGCAAAAATATCTGTGTCATAGTTAGTGTGGTAATGTGGTACATTGTGTTACCTGCGAATCCAACCTGCAGCCTAGCTCCAAATGACACCATTGGCAAATATCCACAATATCTTGGCTACATTGTGATAGTGAGAGGACTTGGAGACACGTCATCCATCTTTATATATAGGTCTTGGTTCACCAGATGATGAGCTGAAGGTGGCAGCTATCATACCATTCTATGAACTAGGTTCCTGTACTCCTCCACTGCAATTCGCAGATTCCCGAAGAAGAAGCAGAAGTCAGAGGATTTGGTGAACACAAATGGTGAAATAAATACATTTGTCAAGTAATATCTAATTCACTATTCCTGTTTGCTTTTAACATTTGGATCAATCTGAAACAACTAAATAGACTAAGGTTAAGACCAACTCTTATCCCAATTAGCTTCCACAACGGTGACAGTTTATTGGAGAAACCATCTGTTGATCACAGTCTTTTTTGAAAGGGTCTGTATTTCTTCCAAACAGTTTCCTATGCAGTTTCCCCAGATGGTTCTACGTGACAAACCATCTGGTGTGTGTCAGGTTAAGAAATGCTGTAACATTAAAAGAACTTGTCTCCAACGACAAGTCTGCAGCAAAGTGATGATTTGAAATCACACTTATTGCTCACTCTGTCACTGTTGCTATTCAAGGCTGCAATAAACACAATGTAGTTTTAGACAACAGGAGTCATTAGTACATCGAAACAGTCATATGAAGTTTTGTTGTTCTCGTAATTTCACAAGTGTCAATACGAGCATACTTGGCTGTCAACACTCAGCTCCGTCTTATGACGACACCGACTTACATAACAGACACTGACAAATCAGAACAAAGACAAAAACCCAAAAGTGTTTGCGTAAAAGTAAAATCTTAAGCAACATAAACATTTATCCTAGTAATGCTTGACTTGCCAGATTTAGGTTGTGAAAGTTATCATCAGAAGTTGTAAATGATTAGTTTAAAGGATCAGGATACCAATCATGAGGGGAGAATATTACAAAACAGTCAGTCTAACAGAATAATAACAGGGGGCCTATGGTTTATAATCATTGACTAATTCAATATTTCAAGCAAAAAATGTATTTTATTTGGACATTTCCTGAAGAACATCCTGCATTTTTCAACAAGGATTATGGTCATCCCAGAATAAGGCTTTGGCTTTCCCTCCTCCCCCTTGCTGAAGGTTGTGATTTGTGCCCAAAAAAAAAAAAAGCAATCCCCTTTCTTGGCAGGCACCATGTCTGACGACGTGGGTGCTTGTCGCAGAGTCATTGGCATTCCTGTAAGGGTTTAATAGCTTGCACAGCAGGTTGGCAACACTCGAATATCAGACTGCGAAGCCGTCCACTCAAGAGGATCACAGGAGAACTGAGGTAAGTTCAGCATTCATCTTACAATCAGCACCAGTCTTAGATGGAGGTTTTTAGTATTGAAAGTTGGCTTCAGTCTTTCACACAGAACTAATCTTGTGACTGATTAACTCATACTATCTCGTCCAATCTTGTCCCTTACATGAAGGGAAATCGCATCCTGATTGAATGGCTCTTATTCACAGTTGTGAGTTAATGTAAATAAAAATTGATAAGGTCGTCTTGGTAATTTGCAATAGTGTGTAGAAAATTTTAAAATACACAAAGGACATTTACAGTCTGCATTTACATTACCTTAGCAATACTACTTTAATTTGCCAATTTGACAACTCATATTATTGCAATATTCAAAATCATATTCTGTCAAACACAGATATTATTTAACAAACATAGGCTATTTAATGACTACAGTCTTTTGGCAACTTCATATCACCTAACAGCTTTAAAAAATTAACTTTTTTAGAAGCATCTTTTCTCAAACTCCTACCTTTCAGTTTATATTTACCACAACATAATTGTTTATGTACTATTCTGTATTATTACTGAAAATATTACAACCAAATAGGGCAAAAAACGCAAAAGAGGTCCTAAACATAGCCCAAATTAACATGATCAGTGCAAACTCCCTACATAGCCACACACTTTCTGAACATGCCCTTAGCTGTGTCTTCCTTTTCATCATTTTTATGATGCTCTCAGTCACTGAGTAATACTGTCTCTGTGCTGTATTCAGCATCGGTCACATGAAACCCATAAAAATCTACTCTCACGGCGAGGAGGCTGTGTAGGACCATGTCAGAAGCCAAGTACACGGAACAAGTTTTACACCTTGAGGGTGCAACTCAAATATTTAATGAGCACTAGAATTTGAACTTTGTGCAACCTTTGTTAAAAAGTTTTTGATGGCATGCAATTTGTAGTCATGGAAAGTGCTCATCATTTCTACCCTAAGTGTAGTTGCAGCCTTATTGGGACAAAACGTTTTTCATCACATTGCAGTGCTTGAAATTATAAAACAATTTAAACACTGACTTTCAGCTGTATTGACAAACCAAGTAAGATGCTAATTAAAACTGACTTATCCAGAGTTGGGGTGTAATTAATATCAATTACGTATATTCATCCTGCTTCAGAATACAGATATAGATGATCTAATGAGCAGGATTGAGCTCTCTATGATTTACTCATGTCAACAGTGATTTACAAGCCTATTAAGATGTTGGAGATGAGAAGCTCACAGTTTTATGTGGCATGTGGCCTATCAAATGACAATCCACTTTTCTCATCTTTCAACAGCCGTGGTTCATCGACACGCTAGAATATCACACCGCTATACTGGGTAGCAAGGGTTTGTACAAACACTACACGAGAGGTTAGAGGTGTTTAACATCTGACAAATTGAATTTCAACGTGTGAATGTTGTCAACACTGTAACAACTAGTTTGTGGAACATTTAATTTTGCTGATAAATCTAATGTGTTTATGGTTGAAAAATGAAATGGGTCCAACAACCTGGCATAATTATTTTGTTAAACATAGACGTAGAGTAGAGTTCTCTAGCTTGAATTCATGTCTACAAAAGCTTTTTCAGCAACAGCCTCTCCAGTACTGACAGTAAAGCCAGTTAGTATGTTGGTCATTCAGTCAGTTTGCCTGTGAGATCATGTGTCTGTTTGTTTGCTTATTCACCTTGACGGCTTATATTCCAGTTTGGGAGATGTATTGATTTTACACCCGCTCTCCTATTCGATCAGAGATGCATAACTCTGCAGCTCATGTAAAATGCACAATCCAGTGATTCATTACCACCACATACACAAACACCTATCAGCAATCAGTTATCACCTATCAGTCTGGCTATCAGTTATAGTTGTAACTGGTCTTGTAAGAGGAGGAATTTATTCAGAGCAAAGAGATCAGACAATGTCAACAAGATTTAGTTTTGAGGAGAATACACAGTACAGGGAAGGAACTGCCAACAAATACATTCTAGCTCCGGGCGATTCCCTGCTTATGTTGTCACACTCACCTTCACCACAGAATAACATTTGAACCTACACAGTGATTTAAATGTAAATTCTTGAGTTGTGCAATAAAGAATAAATTAGAATAGGATCAGACGATATGATTTAAAATGATTTACTGCGGATAAATAAAGCCAATGTTAATTTTGTTCTTATTATTATAATTTTCACCACTGGTTTAGAGGGCTGTGACGTGCAGGTTCGCTCATAAAATATGTTTTCTGCTAAAATCCTGTCACTCCTGAATGCATTGTGCGATCCTTCAGGTCTACTTTACATTTTCTTTCTTTCAGGAGAAACATCTTTCCTGCTATTTGAATTCATCAGTTGAGCTGCAATTATTGTACTTATATTTTATATCCATCCTATTTTATAGTTGGAGAAATCTCTCCGAAGAAATCTCTAAATCAATCTTGAAATCAAAGGTCCAGGGATGTTTAGAAAAGCTAAGCTGACGGATGGGACTGCAAATGGCCAAGGTGAGCATTGAATGCTAATCCTATTTTATGCAGGAGTCATTAATAAACAACAAGCTTGTGAGATGTTCATTTTTGTTCTTTTATCCATTAGTAAACGCAAAAGTGACAGGTAACCAAATAAAGCCTGTAATCTGAACCTGGAAGGAAAACAGAGAATCTTTTGAAATAAACAGTGAATCCAACAACCTTAAATCTAAAAGGAACCATTTGTTATAATAATATCAACAACAAAACCAAGCAGTTGCAGTTAGGGAAGTCATATTAGGTGCATGCTGAATATTTATGAATCATATTTCAGAAGATACAGAATTGATAGAAGGCTACCACAGGGGAGGGTGAGGTGAGGGGTATTCAGCTGCAACATGAAACTTCACCATTAGATGTCACTAAATTCTACACACTAAACCTTTAATGAAAAAAATCAAAAGCAAAATGAGAAAGATTGAATCATCATAATTTGAAGAATTCTATATGTGTTTAATGCTTCAAATTGTTGATTAAGGTTCATTTTCAAGGCTCCTCCTCTGTCACAAAGCAAATGCTTTTGAAATTTGTAGTAATATTGAAATTAGACTTAAAAATGTATTACCTTGTTTCATCTAACATATCTTAAATTGCTTAATCTTTATTAAGCCACATTCTTCTTTAGTACTATATCTCTCAGTTGAATAATTCAGTTCAATCCATAATCTAATGCTAATACCATGTTGACATGTGCTGTACATGCTCTTTCCAATGTGCCTTATCAGGTCCAGATGCAGAGAATTGCAATGGTAATCAACAGCAGTTTTTTTTTCCCTCCATATTGTTCCTGAAGGCATGAAAAGCTGATCTGCAGTGGATTTATTAGTATTCTGTACAAGTAAATATATACACATAGATATGTAGCTGCATCACTACATATCTGTTCTCAGGTTGAATATCAGGCATGGATTCCCAAGATAAAAGATAGACGTTATAGAAATAGAAATAGAAATGTAAATGTAAACTGACTCAAGACTCATCTATACCAGAGCCACATACATGTACGTACCATTTAGATCCTAGTGATGATTAACTGAGTAACATGGAACATTCTAATACGTCATGTATTAGAATGGGTCTGCGCATTGTTTATGTGAGTGATAATTTGACTACAAAAACAACAACAGATTGAGGGCTGCATATAATCATGGTAATTATTTTCTATGTTTTAAGTGTCACTAACGCTTCATCTTCCACTGACAGTGGGGATCAAGAAGAAATCTCGAGTCCCTGGCGTGATGATTACACAGTTTATTGAGACACTGCCAGAGGGAAAGAGCCATCCAGACTTCACCCGCAAGCCAATTGCTCTGACCATCCAAGAGGGTACTACTGACGGTTACAGAATCATCATTAAAAAAAATACTCCAAGGTTGAATTTACATGACTGTGCATAATTGATTAAATCAATGAATTGTGTGGGGGGCCATTAATAGCACAGCCTAAAAGAGAATAATCCGATAAAGTTTAACACATACTCACCCTGACTGAAAACCATTTGGAGTTGGAAAAAAAAAAAAAAAATTTATTTGTTGTTATGATTTGCCAAACAAATACCTTCCACTGTCTCTACTTTAAATGTTGTGATACCATTCCATAAATGACGTTATGACGTTTATGACGTTGATGTTATTAAAATGTAGGCTATATTATGTATGTGTATATTAATGATCAAACTAAATAATCATGCATCTGTGTTTCCAGGTGATTTAGAACATGAGGTGACCTTTTTTTCTGTTTTACAGGAAAATTTGCTTTTTTTAAAGCCATTGTCACCGGAGACCCACAGCCAACTGTCACATGGGACAGGAATAATGGAGATGTGTCTGATACATCAAGATACCAGACCAAATACGATCCAACTTCCAATGAGCATACGTTTGAGGCAAGTGATATGGAGTATCAAATCGCATCGATACTGCACAGCAGCATTTCGTTCTGTAAAAGCAGCAAATGGCACAGAGTAAATTATAGATAAATAGAAAAAAAAATAAGAAGAGATTTGATAACATCAAGGTCATCCTGTCTTCAGACCATCACTTTGCCTTTTTTACATTCTGAAGGAAGTCAACACACACTGGACACATTTAACTGCTAACAGCAATGAAAACTAAATCTACAGCTTCACCAATAAGCACTATTATTTTGTGATAATCCAACTAACACAGTCAATTGTATCCATTACATTTTGTATGTCTTTGTTCTTTCAGATGCCAAGTGTCATGCCAGATCAAGCTGACACCTACAAATGCTTTGCCAAAAATGAATATGGACAAGCCATAGTCACGGTCATTCTGAATGTTATTGAAGGTAAGGGCTACTTTCTGGCAATGCAAAAGAAAAAGCAACGTAAGAAATATGATAGAAAGTCATTTACCCATTTATCCAAATTTGATTCTGCTATACTATGCTTGGGTGTGGTCCACTCATTCCAATGCTCGTCACTCAGCATGCTCTTTGTATGCTGTTTAATGTATAATAAGGTTAAGTGTCCTCTTTTCTGCCTTTAGTTGGTTTCAAAATGAACAAGGCCCAGCAACAAACAACAGAATTTACTGATGAAAATTTTAGGACTGTTCTAAAAAGGAAAAGGTGAGTTTGAGCTACTACATGTATATTAAAGGTGTCTTCTACAGATTTACAAGACTGTTAAGTGATTAATCCTATTAAATTCCAGTAAGATCCCTCCCAAATCTGAGCAACATGAGAAAAAAGATGGTGAGATTGATCCGAAGTTTTGGGAGCTCTTACTAAGTGCTGATAAGAAAGACTATGAGAGAATCTGTGCAGAGTTTGGAGTCACTGACTTTCGATGGATGCTCAAGGAACTGAATGAAATGAAGAAGGAGAGGGAGGAACAACAAGCTCAGGTTTGGGACATTCGTATGATGATTTGAATGTTTTTTCCTGACAATGAGACTTCATGTTGACTTTACATGCAGTGATAACAGAATGTAAAGTCAATTTTCTTTCCCCATAATACTAATTTCTTAATCCGTTTCTGTGCCAGTTCGTCAAAGACCTGCGAAACCTGAAGGCTATTCAAGTCAATGCAGATGGTTCTGCCTCCTTTGAGATTGACATGGATCTTCTTGACCCAAGCAGCCGAATCTTCCTATACAAGGTTAGTGTGGAAACAAAATTATACCTCTAGCAGCCCTTCTACATATTACAGCATAACAGGTTGGGGAGTCACCCAAAGAAATCAGTAGCAGTCGCCCTCAATTTCAACCATGAAACCATTATTGTATATTTCCCCTGTAGGATGGTGAAATGATTCCATATACAAAGGAGTTGGGAGACAAGATGAAGCACAGCCTCAAACAATTGGGGAGAAAGTATGTTTTCAGTATAAGGGACCTTATGCCCGAAGATGCTGGACTGTACCAGTTGGATGTAGAGGATGTGAATATGTTTTCTACTGATTTTAAAAGTAAGTTTTATACTTGCATACAGTGAAATATTAGCCTTAATTAAAGCAAAGGAAAACAATGTTGCAGAAGTTGAAAATTTTATCGATATAAAACTAATTACTTGTTATTTTTTAGTCCCCATGGTGGATTTCCTGGTGAAAATTCAGGAAGTGAAGGCAAAGGAGCGTGAAGATGCTGTATTTGAGTGTGTCCTGTCAAATCCCTTCTCCAAGATTCTGTGGTTTGGCAAGAATGTTCCACTGGAACAAGGGGACAAGTACGATATTGAGGTTTCGGAGGACAAGCTCATTCACAGACTGGTGGTCAAAGACTGCATAGTGGTGGACAAAGGAATTTACTCTGCCTGTGCAGGAATAAAATCTTGTAATGCATGGCTTGTTGTTGAAGGTAAGATTTACTCCATTAAAAGACTGACTGATAATAATCAATAATAAAATCATAACAGTTTGTAATAGAGTTTCTTTCTTGTCATACTATTAATTAAAATGTACACTCATGGCAAATCTTTTTGTTTTTTTATCTTTAAATCAGCTGACAAAGGAGCCAAAAAGGGGAAAAAAGCAGCAAGGAAAACTACGAGGGCTGGAGGATCTGGAATTGACTTGCAGAAAGTTGCCCAAGAACAACTAGTAAAACTAGAGAAAGAAAGAGAAGAAAGAAAGGAACAGATTAAAGCTGCTAAAGAAGCTGCAGCAGCTGCACCTCCACCTGAAGCCCCTCCAGCTCCCGCACCTCCTACTACAGCTCAAGCTGTACCTAAGACACCAAAAGGTCCTGAACCAGGTAAGAATGATGGCCGTAAGGTTTTTTTTAAACAGGATGCTGAAGTAACATCA